TCCCTACATTCACAACACGGTCTGAAATTTGGCCATTATTCCTTAAGCTATGACCATCAAAGTCATAGGTATTTATCAAGGGTAATGTGTGTATTCCACTGTACACCTTATTTGTTGGGACAAATGACCTATGTTATTGATTCTCTTTGAGAAGCTATTCTGTTCAGTTACAGATGAGTGGGGAACAAAACTATTGTCTTGACTGACCTCTTTATTTACAGTCTGATAAAAGAGGACTATTGTGCTTTAACCATTACCAATGTCTCCTAAAAGTCTCTACTTTTACCCTTGCAAAGTTCTGCAGTGCAGTGGTAGGCAGAGACTGGTCTTGCTCTCTGAAGTATTTTCAGGATACTTTAGAGATAAAATTATTCAGGCTTAGATAGTGCCCATCTTCATTGCGACAGAACTGCAAATCTGCTCTAGGTTACTGTCCATTGTGTTATCTGCTGAGAAGTTGAAGGATTTTGGACTATCATTTGTGATAGAAATCTATGCTCTTTTTACCTGTTGAAAGTTGGCTGGTAGATATGAGACACCAATATTTGTACTTACAAGTATTTAATTATTAAGGATCTAAAAGTAGAGAATGCCATGTTTTGCTTTTTCTGGTTTTATAGAGGATAAAGAACAGGAGATTTAGAAAAGATTTTATTGCAGCATCTGTATCTACTGCTACCTCCAAATATCTTCTCGGCCTGTCCATGTAGACTTAGGCTTTTGTGAGTTAGAAACTGCCCTGATGAAGGTGATCTGTGACTTTGTACCGAGGATAGATCAAAAGTAGGAGCCCAAGATGAATTGTCAGTATTTGTCCATTGTCTTTTTTTTGTTGGCTTAATGGCCTGCTCTGGCTATCTATCTCAGTATAGAGGACTGAAACAATGTTTTTCCTCCTGAGATATGTCCAAAAAATTGTAGAAGTCTTTGTAGATCTTGTGGTTTGGTCACCCTACTCCTGTGTGTTGGGAGGTTAATAAGGAAAAAATGAGGTTCAGTATGTAGATGAAACCTGTAGCTCCATTTCCATCCCTGCCACCTTGATAAAGGCAGCTGCATGAATTCACAGGCTGGAAAGAATGAAGCTGGGGCTATCAAACCTCCTACTACCCTTGAAAAAGGCCCAGAGTGAGAATCCAGCCCTTATTGCTTCTGGATAGTGGAGAAGGTGCAGTGATTCCTGAGAGAAGTTACCATCTGTATTTTTACTTGTAAAGTGAGCTGGATTTTTTTTTTCATTATTATATGGAAACAATTTAGATGAATAATATGAAAAATATAGTAATTAACATATACTATAAATAAATGCATAGACAATATCATAAATGTAATATTTGGTAAGATTAAAATAGAATATGAAACAATATTTTAATATGAATAATATTTGCTACTACTTTCTTATAATGTGAATGTTTTGCTCTCTTGTGGAGCTGAACAGCAAAAGTCTGTAGCTAAAGTGGTTCAAGTCAAGGCCGTATTCAGCCTTGCAACGACTCTATAGTGAAGTGCAGATTTGGGGCATCAGCACCCAAGATGGAAGTGGGGTGCTGAGCACAAGGAAACCTCAGGGACTTAAATTTGACAATGCAGTTTTGCGCAGGGGACTAGTGTGCTGAAGCAAACAGCTCCTTGCCAGAAATGCCGTGGTTCTGGCAGGGTGCATGGGTTTGGTTCACTCTGTGTGCTGCTGGGATGTGGGAAAAATATGCCAAAGTGAGAAGAGGGCAACAAAGAGATGTAAGCATAGGATGGTTACAGTCCTCTTTGCTGCTCCTCACAGCCTGCTAGCCAGTGCCAGGGCTGAGGTGAGGGTGAACACTTCACTGAGCAAGGTAGGCACTCAGAAGGCTTTTTATGTTTAAGCAGATAAATGCATTTTTTTTTTTTTTTCATTGAGTTCTGGATTTGGGTGAATAGACTCCCATTAAAACACAAAACCAGACTTGCTTTCAGGGGTTGCACTTCTATGCAAAACTTTATACCTAACATCTGTGCGGATGAAGACTTTCTTGTTCCCTTGCTTCCTCCCTGCCTCTCTGTGAATGCCCTGGAGCAACATTATAAGACCTCACCATCTGCTCTCTGACAATAGTCTTCTCTCTTTCTATTTTAAAAAACAGAAATTAAACCACTTGGTGATTATCTGGGTTTGCTGTGGGACCTGAGAGTTTCAGCAGCTCCTTTTGGACACAAAGCTGATTTAATTCCCCGTTACAGTGAAAACATGGGAAGAAATAATAAAACCAGTGACTAGCAAGCGTGCAGAGTTTCAAAGGAGCTAGTTAAATAGATAAACAGAAGGTTGTGTAGGCTTGTGTGCCTGCATGGGACAGCAGACGTTGTTCATGACAAAAAGCCTTACTTGCCTCTCACAGGAACAGGCACGATTTGTTTATTTATTTAATAAACTGAGTCAAGAATGTGTCATCAACTAATAAATAACTTTAAACATTACCATGTTTGAACTAGAAGACAGCTGCTCAAAGAAACAATTACACAGCCATTGGGATTTAACTGACAAAAGATTTCCTTAAGTAATTAAGCTCTGTGAGTGTGAGAGGAAAGAAAGATCACCCGTTGAAGGGGGTAATGCCTTGATATTTTCCTCCTGCCCTTTTACTGAGAAGCTAATAACATACACAAACTGAAGTGACCCTGTATGTAAGAGGCAATAACGGATCCCTTCCTATGCCAGGTCTTCCAGTCCCTCCACATGGAAATACTTGCACCTATCTCAGTGGTCAGTCTGAACGTGTAGAATTTACAGGATTGGGCTCTGGGGCTAACAGACACATGGGATTTCCTTCTGTGTTTAATGCCATCTGGGCACACAGAATGGGCTACTCCATTTCCTTTTGACCCTGACCCCTCTTTTCTTACCTTGTATTTCAAATTATTTCATTTAAAGACTACTAGTTTTGTCTGTCCGGTTGAGCTCAGCATCCACATAAGTAAAAGATGAGTCAGGTCTCTTTCTCACACTGATGTTGAGTCCAGAAATGTCTTCGTAAGTAATAGTTTTACTGTTAGCATAAGATAGTTCTGACTAATAAGAGGCAGAATGTAGTTGCTAATCATGTTATGGTTGACTTTTACAGCTAATAGAATCATAGAATCATTTAGTTTGGAAAAGACCTTTAAGATAATCAAGTCAACCATAAACCTAACACAATATACACATAGAAAATATAATGCATAAAGATTTCTGGTGCCATGTGCGTGGCTACAAACTGTAGTACTGAACAGAGCACTTACGGGTCTGGCACAGGGCTCCGAGCCATCCTCCAGAGCACTCACAGATGTTTGGGCCTATGCATTCTCCACCATTCAGACACTTCTGCAGGCAGACAGCTGAACAGATTGACATGAAACAAGTGAGACGTACATAATATATCTGGATGTTCAAGGTCTGCTTGAAAAGGTGACCTGCTAGTTTTTATTCTATATAGCTGATTTCTACAAAAGTGAATGTGGTCTATTCATCAGATAATCAGTGTTCAGGTTACTTTGATATTTGCTTCTTAAGAAATTTATCTTTGATGACTGTGTACTGGGAGCTTTGCTATTTCTAATGCTCAGATCATCATCAGCTAAGTATTCTCCATGTGATATATTCATATGTATTATCTGCATGTTACGTGTTCCATGTTATAAGTAGATTCTCATAGTAAAGTTTGATATGTTTATTGCATATATTATTTCTTCATGGATTCTGGAAAAGTAAACGCATATTTTGGTGTATCTGTGTGACAGACTTCCTTCAGGATTTCTGAAAAAATGATTATGATTTTCAAGCAGTGGTTCTGAAATCATATTTACTATCAGGACCCAAAGGGTAAAAAGCCAGTATTTTAATCTGGTTTACATACAGTCTGTCATCTTGATTATAAATTTATTCCGTTTATCTGTCAACAGCACGGTAATGAATAGCCACGTAAGGAAAAATATTCCTTGGAAATACTTTAGGGCGAGAGGGTTTTTTTAATTACATTTTTATGTAGCTGTAGTCAGATCTGGTAGAGTTACAGAGGAAGAACACATCATTCTCCAAATTATACACCAAAATGTATCTGGTGACCTTGAGAGTATATCAGTTTGGAAAGCTTTATAGCAGGCTTTAAATAGTTCTATTTTTCAAAATGCATGGCATTTCTCTGTAAAATATAACAAAATATGTGAAGCTGTTAAAACAGAAAATCAATGCTTCAAGCTTAATACTATAAAAATGAATTTCTATAACAAGATGTACACCATGTAGGTGCATGAGGCAGAACCAGGGTTCCCCTACACAGCTTTTTTCCTTTTCAAGCATCAAACGTTTAATAGCATTTTGTATTACCTGTACTTAAAACAATTTTTCTGCAAACTGCAGAGTAGCAAAACAGATTCTATTCACTGTCCTGTTTTTTTTTTGTTTTTTTTTTTTTTTAAAATGTTGAAAGAAGATTACAACTGATGCTGCCCGGGCTAAGTCATCCTGATCTGTGTGATGGGCAGTAGAGGTGCTTACGTTTGTTACACTGCTTTCCCCTCCACCCAGATGGGCAGTCACAGACGTTTGGGCGCACACATTTCCCTCCGTTCATGCACGTGGGATCACAGACACCTGCAGGGACAGAGCAAAGGAAGAACACAGGAGCTGGGAAATGAGGGAAGACTCTACAAGAGACTTGCTGCCTTTCAGAAGGTTCAATTGCTTGTAATTAAAAAACCAGAGAAGTAATTTGGATTTGAGAATCTGGAACACAGAGGTTTGATAGCTCCCATAAATCCTTCTGGAAAATGCTGTGCCTTGTGTGGAAGCTCTTTCAGGGAAGCTCCAGAAAGAGCTGCCTCACCAGAAAAATGAGAGAGGCATTAATTACGATGATTCTCAGAAAAACAAGTAAGAAATTTTCTGTGGCAGCTGTGAACAGACCAAATACTTGTTAAAGCTTTCACTTACTCGTTGGAAAACATGTTCTCAGATGTTCATTTGGATAAGAAAAGACTTGAAGAGGATGTATTGGTTTCACACGATTTTGGGAGTGCTTTTGCATTCGGCCAAGTGCAGAGACTAAATAGATCTATTCCTCCATTGCCTTTTTGCACCATTATTTGTTCAAGTACTTTTCACTTTACTCTTTCATACGAATAATAGATGAAAGCTAAGTTGTTCTTTTCAACCACAGGAAGCCGGATGATTTTTTTATGTTAGATTTCATTAGAAAACTAATTGCTAAATTTTGTGTCTCAGATTAAGCCCTGTGTTTATCAATATTGTTGTTTTACAACATCCAACAGTGAAATTTCTCTGTTCTGGCACGTCAAACATCTGTAATCCCAACTTGCTTTGATATTAGTAAATGCCAGAGGCAGGTATCTAAAGTCCTCAGTCCAAAGATGATCTCCTGTTTCTCTAAGGACCCATCAGAGGCAGTGTAATTTAGAAACGTGGCAGTGCTGGTGTGAAGGGAGTGGGACAGATTTGCCTTTTAAACGTAAGAAGACAATTGATAAAGGGGTAGAAGACAATAAAGCTGTTTTAGGTAGTAAATAGTTGGACATGATTACGAGCAACAAGTTAGGAGGAGTCTGACAATGAAGGTTTGGGAACAGGTTTCTCGAATGGCTCCTGCCACGTTTAAAGCCTTACAGGCCCAATGGGAGTTCCCAGTGACTCGTTAGCAGCAGCAGTGATCAGCACCAATCCTTTTTTTTAGCAGAGCTGGGTGGCTGCTGAGCACCCAGCTCTTCTTCAGCAGGGAGCAGGCTCCTTGCCTCTGCAGGGGCTGGCAGCTGGAATGTAGCACTATGGTGCCTTGATCAGCCCTCAGCTTGTGATGGCTTCTGGCACATCAGCAAGAACAGAACTGGAATGCTAATGTTGTAGTAATTCTGATTTTCAAGGCATTGTTTTGCAAAGGGCCCTGAAATTACCACAAGCCCGCCTCAGACGTGTACTATAGAAGGTGAAATCCCACAAAGAGGCTCAAAACAGGAATATTTACTAAAAAAAGAGTATGGAAAAATACAGCAACTGTTATTTCATGGGAGGAATAATATTTAGTTCCTCTCTTAGGTATGATCAGGCATTTTTAGATAGGTAGATTTGGATTCCCTAATTATTCCTCTGATGTATTGAAATATTGCTTTTGTGGCTTTTTGTGTCCTGGTCTATTCCTTTGGTGCAGATGCTGCTGTGCTGGCAGGTTTTAGTACTACGTTGCTGCTTTTGAGTGGATGCTAGATTTGCATTTTGCTCTGTGCCAAGCCTCCTGGATCCCTCAGCATAGTGACCTGCCCCCAGGCAGGTCAGCCTTACCCATGCTTATAAGGGCTGCTTGGATCCAAGCCTTTAAACTGTCATCCTCTTTTTCCTCCTTTCTCTGCCTCTCCTGATCCATGCTGTAATCTTGGCCTCTGTGTACTAAGGCTAACAGGGATCTACAGTTCTTGCTGAGGTGTCAAAAAGTGCTTCAACTGCTACTTAAAACCTAGATGAGTTCAAAGTGTCACAGCAACCATAACCCTGAAATAATTTAATCTTTCATTTTCTCTCTTCCTTTTTTGCTCCCTTTCGGTCTTGCCTCTCCAGTAATGGATTTCTGCCCTACAATCTTATGTTGTGTTGTATTTGACTTCTAGTTTCAATTATAAAGCAGCTCAGATATTCAGAATTTAGAAAAGATGACCTCAAACCATAAAATTTGGTTCCAGATTTCAAATGACATTATGCTTTGTGATATTCGTGGACCACAGTGTCCCCAGTGCTAAACTGCTATCCCCAAATCATCTCAAAATGTCAGAATTTGAGTTTATGATTGTATGAAACTTGGACAATATCTTCCCACCGCCCCTTAAAAAATAGTCCTTGAACAATGTGCATTGTAATTCAGCAAAACTTTAAGCAACAGGTGAGGTCCAGTCTTGGTCTGCATAAAACTTATTGGTTCAAACTGACTTTCAATTTGGTATCTACCTGTTCAGCTGCCATACAAATGAACAAGTCACTATGAAAACATAGCATGAAGTCCCTTTATTGTTTATTGCTTATGGCATCTCTTACTTTGATGATAACTCCAAAGGAGTTCAACTCAAAAGCAAACTAAGGGAAGTACTCACCTTTTCTGAACTAGAGGGTCACTTTTGACTGCCTGCCCTTAACTTTTCTCTTCTTGCTAGGGAATTCACCAGCACCTTTATATAAATGAATGCAGTGTTATCTCTCCCCTTTTTCTGTTTGACATCTCCACCTTGTTCTCCCTTTCTTTAACTTTCTTAAACACAATTCCATCTCAATACCCATCAGGCAGACTTCAACATTTGTTGATGATAACTAGTTTGGATCCTTCCTAGTCCCTCTCCTTGGCCTCTGTGGAGAAGCTCCAATTTCAAAATAGCAAACAAAAATGTTACAGCCTCTCAAAGGAAAACTAAATAAATTATCAGACATGAGGAGAGTAAATCGTGTTATTGCAATCCTCCCAGGCACTGGCATGACTTTGAAAAGGCTCATATTTCTTTTTTTCCCCTCCCTTTATAAGAGACCTGGCATCTTGACCTAAAGACAACAGTCATTTGATAGGTTTTCCACCAGCCTTTGGGGACCAGCCCTAATGACATGGATAGAAACATATTTGTGTCTTTTCTTTGTGGTTTGCTTGGATATATCACTGTGGGTAGGAGAGTCCTGTACTATCAGCACATCCATGTTGCAAGCTTCCAGGCTAGTCAGCAAATATCACCAGAGCCTTGATCCCCTTGCTGTCACCATTGGCATTTCCATGCTCCTCAGTAAGAACAGAAGCACAGAATTTCATATGCAATAGAGCTGCTCAGTCCTGTAATGGGTCACAATGCTATAAGGCCACTGCTTAAAACTAGAAAGGACTTCCATAATCTCAAGTTTTCCAAAACTGGTAGGTTAGATAATGTAAACTGTGCCGAAGGTGATAAAGGAGGTTAAAGAAAAGCACGATTACACGCTGATTTTCAGGGGAGGAGTGATTTTGATAAGGTAACAAGCAGCTGCAGGTGTTAAGATAAAACAGAGGTGTTGCACAGAGCACCATACAAAATGTCTGCAGTTCTGTGGGCTGAAAGACATTCATGAGTTGCTAAGTTTTCTCTTTCATGCAGCAGCCCTTTCTCTCTGATGGCTTTAATGCATTTTGACCTTACAATCACTTACAATTTCCTGTGACCCTGTTCATAGCTTATCCCTTCTAGGTTGACTTGACCCAGTGAAGTGCTTCTTGAAACCTTTCTATGAACCTCCACAGAGCTCCATAGTTCAACTGTTCAGCCCTAACATCTTTACCATAGTCAGACCTCCTGCTTTGTCAGCCAAAGGGAAGAATTTTTCCTGCAAAAAGAAATATTTCCAGACATTACTAAAATTCTAAAAAATCCCCCAACCAACACCTTAAATGTTGTCAAGTCAAGTAGGTCCTTGTGTAAGTCGCATCAGTGAGGGACACCTGCAGTTCCAATGTCTTCCTTTGCCTGCCCTTCTTGCCACTGATTTACAGTAACAGTTTCCCTAAAACATACACAGTATTAAGGATCATGTCCCTGTGCAAAGCCAAAATGGGCTGGAGGCACAGTTAAGCACTAGGCAAGCTTTACTGGACTGCACGTACTAGAAGCAACCAAGAGTAATGTCTTGTTCTAACAAACAATCACAGTATTAGCCAGCAGTGGTTGGTTAATTTACAGATTAAAAGAAGCCAGACATTTCCTTCAGCCTCTCAGTGCTTCTGTGGATGTGCTGATAAAACATTTTTAAGCTGAACCCAAGGCACCTTTTGATGCAACTACCCCATTACACCTTTTCTCACTAGAATTAGAAGATAATAAATAGTAAAAAGCTTGTATTTTCATTGAGATAAGACAGTCTCCATCACCACCCTCATATAAGTCAAAACAGAGGCAATATTAAACCAGGCTTCTAAAACCTAAGCAGAAAGGGATCCTCTGCAATGTTTCAGGAATACGCCTTGAACACCCATGTCCTTTCCTGACAGACTGCACAGATTATTTCTGAATCAAAAATTGCCTGTCATCACGTATCCTGAGCCATGCTGCTGATGAGGAGACAGTGCGTCCTGCTGCACTGCTGATTAGAAGATGTAGTTCTCAAGACAACTTTTCTTTTCTCTTTTTTATTTTTTTTTCCTTATGCCCTGTAGAAGCTGAGAAAATTGACCTGCTTCTGGATGCGTTCTGCCTTTGGATGGAAGAGAGAAAATAGCCTCAAGCAGTAACATCTGGGTGGGCCAGCTAAGGTGATGCATCAGGCTACAGCTTTACTGACAAAGAACAGAGAAATGTGGCCAGGAGAACACCTACTGGTGCATATAGACTTCAACGTATCCTTTAAGTCACCATCCCTGTGCTGTTGTTTATGTTTGATACACAGGCACTGCTTTTATTCCTGGCTAGTGTTGGTTTTGGGCTGACTTCTCTGTGGGTCTAATTCATATTTGCATTTTCTCTCTCTGTTGCTCTTCTGGGGAGCAGGAAGCTCGATCAGTTGCAGTTTTGGGTTTTGTATGTGTGCATGTTGTTTTAATGTTCGTTTGCTGCGTTCTGCTTAGAGGTTATCTTGATTTGGTGTGACAT